CCCCAAAACCCCAAAACCCCAAAACCCCAAAACCCCTTCAAAGAAATATTTTGAAATTATGTATAAATAAAATTCGTTTTGTCAAAAGATGTCTATAAAGAAGTTCTTTGATCACCGATATAATGAGACATATGCAAGTAAGTGCCATACTTTTGGTCTGGGATCTGGCAGCTTAGATAGAAGGTAGAGTACTGGTTAGTACAATGAGCTGGAATTATCATGCATTTATAGGAATCTCTAATAAGAAACAATCCCTGAGGGATGACGAAAGTGCTGAGAAAATTAAACTCAAGAAAGTAAAACAAGGTCCAACACCTCAAGAGATTAATGATGAGAAGAACATAGGTAAGCTTACAATGTGATGTTTAGACCAGAAATAACCTCAAAAAGTCAGCCACTATGGATCTTTCGAAGGTCAAAGGTGCAAAGAATGTGAAAAACTTTACTAAAGAGCAATCATTAGATAAATTAAATTCTTACACATTCTATGATCCGAAGACAGAATACAAATTAAAGTTCATCAATGAAGAATTTATTCGGAACTCTCAATTGCATACAGAGACTATCCGGAAAATGGTGGTTCAGAAAATCTACAGCGTAGTTATGAAGAACCTCGATAAACGCTTTGAAGTTACCGATTTCAACAAGGAAAACCTTGAACTGTGGGGAAAGATGTTCTTAAGGATCAAACCCATTAGGAAAATTGAGAAAGAACTGACAGATAAAGTTCAAATGGTCCTCATGAAAGAACTTATACACAACAAGGAGCAACTTACTAATTTTGTAGAAATGCCAAGAGTTGAGAAGAAGATGAGCGTAGTCCCTCCTCGAGAGAAGCAGAAACTCCCATTTGATGACCTTGGACTAAAGTTAAGCAATACAAGTTCTAAAGAATCAGATGTCAAGCTTCCAAAGCCTGAAAAGGTAGATCCAGCAGCTCTACATTTCGAGAATATGAAATCTGGAATGGAATACATCGACAGAATGATCGACAAAATGGAACATGATAGCGAGACTATCAAGCTACACATCGATCATGCCAAGAAAGAGAGAAGGGAGTTAGGAGGTATGGAATCCTACCCTCTCGAAAGATTACAAAATATGCTCCATGAATGGGACAACCAAGATATGTGAACTAAGGATGAAATCATGGATTATGCTCATGAGCTATGGGTCACAGTCGGCCAATTTGAGAAAGAGCTCAAGAAATCCACCAAAGGGCATGAATTAGAATTAGAAAAAGTAAAATATACCTTAAGAAGCAGAATTGAATGGATCAAATACAAATCTCATCTACATATATCTGCTCTTGAGGAAGCACTCAGAATGACTAAGGAAAAGAAGAACACAGAAATTGAGAATATGAAAATGGCGCTTTCAGAGTATGAAAGCAGGCTGCTTAATCAACAGATCAATGAACCAGAGCTATCTGAGATTCTAAATTTTGATCCAAACAAGATAAATGATTTAGATCAGCTCAAAAGACTTGCTTTTAAACTCCAAAATGCTGGGAAATCTTTGAAGAATGAAGCTATGCAGATTAAACAGAAATTTTCTGGCCAGGAACATAAAATTAATACTCTTAAAGAGTCATTGGATAACTTAACTGAGAAGTACAGTGATATGACTGAGGTCAAAGATCTATATGAAAAGGTTATCAGTCACATAATGGCTCCTCCCATGAAAGTAGTAGATATAATAGCTTTTGGAAAATTCAAATAAAGTTGCAAATAAATCTGATCCAAAAGAGTTATTAGAGTTCTTCCAAAAATCGCAAATTAAAGACAATCTGCTTGGCATTAGTGAGCAATTTATCAGTATGGTTGATAGTTTAAACGATCTCAAGAAAGCTTTCGAAGACTTAAAAGTAGTTCCAAAGAAGAAGATAATAGTAGATCCTACCTCACTAAGCGTGCGAAAAATAGAGATTACAGATCGGACCCAGAATATCTTCTGTGAATCCTTCATCACAAACTCCCACTGTAAGCTGTTAAACAAGGGTGAAGCAGAAGAAGTTGACAATGTACCTAAAGACAAAAAGAGACGAGGTAAACGTGGAAAGAAAGGTCGAGGGGACGGCTCCTTTGTTCGTAACGAAATTGAAGAGAAAAAGCAAGAAATAAAAGAGATCTCCAATGACATCACCGATAACATGAAATACCTCGTAGAGAGCAAGTATTCTTTACAACTCAAGAAATTGCGAAAGCAACGGGCAGCCACTCTTGAGGAAGACCAACAGGAAGATTTAATCAAAAATTTGAAAATAAGTAAGCCAATTAGGTAACTTTAGAAATGGATGGTCCCAAGAACTCTAAGAAGAAAGTTACCGTTGATGATGTCCTTGAAAAGATAAATGAAAAAGTTACAAAGAAGGTTAAGAAGAAATCCAAGAAGGTGCAGAAGAAGGTATCTGCACAAGAGTTAATCAAAGCTCAAGAGAATATCTTCATGGGCGAGGACATGAACGCCAAGATTCCTTTCCAAGATTGTATAGAAGTTCAGTTTGGAGAAGAAGGAAATATTGAATGTTTCAAATTAAGAAAGAATCTAACGAGGCTGGCTATTGAAAAGAATCAGGAGAACGCAATCGAGATGATCAAGAACTTTGAATACTCCATTGATCAGCTAAATCAAGCTCTCTCTATAAAGAAGAAGAAGGAGTTTAAAGCCAGTACAACTCAGACTTCAACCCAAAAGCCGGTCTTGCTTGGCTTTATGAAGCAGCTGCTCTCTGAATTTGAAAGTTATGATGGTGGTGAGAAAGAAAAGAAGGAAATTGAGAAAGAACTCCAAAGTTATGGTGAAGAAGACCTCCTAGCAACAGAATGTACCAGAATTACAGACTCTGAGGACCATCTTATGACATTTAAGGAACTATTATTTACTTTGTTTGAGTATGCAAAACAGAAAGCGATTTCAATTGCTTATAGGAAGAATTATGAACATGAGGAAATTGAGTCTCCTCAAGAATCCAGAAATGAAGAAACAGAGCATATTAAATTTTCAGAAAGAACTGGTAAAAATACTAAAAGAGTAATGTATACTGATCCTTCGGGTAGTCTTCACAGTGAAGATCCTGACTTACCAGCAAGATATCAGGAAGAAGTGAAAGGTAAAGAGAAGAAGAAAGCTAAGATTGTTGCACAGATCCCAATGATGAAATTATACTCTGAAAGTCCTAAAACATCCAGCAAAAGAGAGACTACTATCAACATCTTCACACTTCTTGACAAGCATGAAGGGATAAATGAGACTGGGTTGATCAGAAATGTTGAGAATAAGAGGAAATATGCATTACCATTGATGAATCAAAGTAATAAGAACCCCAGAGCTTCTAATCAAAACTCAAGACAGTATGTGGATCAAGGGATTTCTATAAAATCTTCTCAGAGAAACGTTCCGATAATTTCATCAAATATGCATAATGTTGGATGACAGGCAGACCAAGAAACCAGGGATGCCTTTACATCGACAGTAGATGTAGACCAGTCTGAACAACTTGCGAATATGATCAAGGTTGAAGCCAAAAAGACCATCCAATTGCTCGAACTATTTATGAAAATAAACGCGAAAGAGAAGAATGAGGACTACAAGCAAGAGTTGAATGAGATTCAGAGGAAGACTGATGAAGAGCTAAATGATGCCTATGATAAGTTTTACACATATGCAGAAGAGACCCTTGAGTCAGAGTCTAGTGTTATCAAGAATAACGACAATGCGCACGATGAGGACTTATTCAAAGGAATGGAGGATGACTATGCCGGCACTCAAACTACATTTGTTACCGCTAATGGCTTTAAAGATCGAAGAGCACCATTTTCGAAGTATGTTGAAAATGCTATGAGAAGAAACCAATTGAACCTATCAGCTGAAATCCAGCCAATCAATTTCTCCCAAGAAAGAGTCAGTACAAGGAAAAATTTGAATAATAGTGCTGAGAATGAAGATTTAGAAATCATTAAAAAGCCTAATAGATCACTTAATAGAACTAAATTGAGCATCAAGCCAAACTTCTTCCAGAGTACAAATCCAGGAAAGTTCTTTAGAGTCAAACTCAAGCCATTGCAGGGTATTAAAGATCAGAAGAATAAAGGATATATTAAAGACCTTGCTCAAAAGAGTAATGAGAAGGATCAATTCCCATCAAAAGTAAAGAAAAATATTCCTGGAAGAAACCCTGAACATTTCTACGAGTACCAGTTTGGCTTTGGACAAGGTGATTCCAAAGATAGCACCCAGTTAGCATCCTTAAGCTACGAAAAGAACAGAGATATACCTGAAAATATTAGAAATCAGGGAAAGACTGAAGAGGTATCTAAAATGAATTCTCTGACTAGGAATACTATTGGGCCTGCAAAGGCTGAAACTACTAAGGTAAGCTATACGTTTTACCCATTGAACTCTATTGAGACTACCTAAGATCTTTGATCACAACATACTGAAAAAGGTTAACAAAAATGGCATAATCTATTCGCATTCGATCATGAACGATAGAAGAAAGATGTTCATAGAGACAGATGATGAGCAAGTAAATTATGAAGACATCAGTAAAAACTCAATGTAAGCTATATTATCCAAAATTTGGCCAAATCTGCTTTAAATTATCTAAAAGTTGAGGTTTTATCATAAATCTGTCTTCTAACTCAGAAGAGTCTCTATGATTTCTCCAGAACCTCTAGCACTTCCTATGTTTGCTCATCCATCTAGAACCCCACTTCACAGACGTGAGACTCAAAAACCCACAGATAAGGGATTTCTTTAGACCCTTAAATTCACTTATTTCTTCCTAAAAATCCAGTATTCCAAAACCTGCTCCAGAAGGCCCCCAAGAAGCCTCCAGTGATCTTTATGCATCCACTGAGAGTTTTTGACAGTTTTATTTAACTTTAGATAGGGTTTGGGACTAAATTCAGTTTTTGATATGAATCAAGGGGTTTTGGGGTTTTGGGGTTTTGGGGTTTTGGGG